CCGGAAAGGCTTTGGCTGGGTGCCTGGAGCACGCTAGGTGCTCAGTAAACATGGGGGCAGGGAGGTGATCAGCTGTTGCAGTCACATGTTAGGTTTTGCCTTTCCTCCTCATCAGAGGGACCTCTTCCCACCTCTCCAACTCTACTGTAGAGAGGCCGCTGTAGGGTTGGGGGATGGGCTCAGTGACTAGAGGTGAGAGGTCAAGAGCTCCACCCTTCACACACACACACACCCCCCGCGCTCTTCCCAGGGACCTCGCACCCTGAGCCTCCTAGGCAGGGGGTGGGTGGGAGCAGGCTGCTCCCGTTCTGACTGCAGAGAAGCCCTGGGACCTGGGTGAGGCCCCTCCGCAGTGAGATCACACCCTTAGCTGAAAATCACACCAGTGGCACCTCCTTGATTGGTGCTGGGAGCTCAGGAGCAATGTCTACCCCGACTTCCAACCCCTCCCAGCCCAGAAAGCCTCAGGAGCCCTTGTACCTCTGAGAACACTGAGCTCTGGGGTCCTGGAGGCTGAGGAGCCAGGCACAAGGCAAGCGGCAAGAGGAGGGGCTGCTCGAGGAGGCAGACCCAGGGCGCTGGGGCCAACAGGGCGCTGGCTGCCCCTGGAGCTCAGGGCAGGCACAGGGATGGCGGGACGTGGCGAGGCCCCTGGCCTGAGGCTGCAGGAGTGCCAGCACGGCTGCAAGAAGCACCTGGGTGACGCCATCAGCTTCTTCTTCCGCTTCATCTCGGGGAACCTGGCTCGAGGTGAGGCTGCTTTGTTGGGACTGGGGGTGGGGTGCAGGAAGAGAGAGGCAGCTGTGGGGCTGAAGACAGGGGCAAGGATGACCAGGGGCAATGGCCCTGCAGCAGGACTGGAAAGGACCCCTTGCTCTCTGAGCCCTGCCGCTCCACACTGTGACCTGTAGGCAGTGGGTGCCGAGACAGGGCCCCCTGACTCGTGGCCATGGGGGTGGGCTTCCCCGTGGTGCTCACAGACTCGGAGGGAGTTGGGGGTCTCAGGCCAGCCCTCCTGCCTTGCGCACGTTGACTCCACTGCTCCCGCCCTTCCCTGTCTCCCTCCCTCACTGGGGACCCCTTTCCTCTTCCATCAAAGACGGATGTGTCCGTGATGAGGATTAAAGAAACTGAGCAAGCATCTAGAAAGAAACGTACATAGAAAGTGCCGGGCCAATGCTAGCCACCTTTCCAAATCTATAAAAAGCAACCGACCTGGAATGTCTGGAAGGGATACAGGGGGTTCCCCCAGCCTGTGCTCTCAGGACAGATATAAGGTGACTCCACGGCAGGCCAGTCCCCAACCCCCACTGCCGCTCTGTTTCCTCTGCTCCTCTCCCAGGGCTGAGCCAAGACTCGGCCACGGGGGCCACGAGGCAGGCACAGGGGAGGGGTCCTGCATGTGGAGACCTATTGCTTCTGTGGCAGGACACCTGGAGAGGGGGGATGTCAGGAGCTTCAGACCCTGAAGCAGCTTGGAGCACCAAGCATGGGCTTCCAGGTCTTTTCTCCTGTCCTGTTACTGGAGTGATGCTAAGGGAAGTAGGCTAAAGAAGTCACAGGATTCCCGACAAGACAGACAATTAAATTCCTAAACATAAAGACAAGTCAGCGTACACATGCGACATGTCAATCCCAAGAGCTGAAGCTACAAGCCGCGTCTGCTGCCCGAGGATGCTCGCCCATGCTGCGAGGTGGCCCGCTAACACTGAGCGGACCGGCGGGAAAAGCCTGGCCTTCGTCCCCCCATCGTGTCCCCTGCCCTGTCCTGAGCACGTAACACAGAGGCTGGCACACGAAACACTTCTTAAATTAATGAATAACATTTTAAGAAGAATAAAAACATAAAACTGAGCGTAGAATCAAGCATCCCCAAATCCATACAATAATAATGGTTTAAAATACTGAAAAG